CCCCCCCCCCCCCCCCGAAAACAATTAGGGAACCCTTCCCCACCCTTCAGAGAACCCGCTCCTGCTCCCAGCCCCGCTGTGCTGTCCTGCGTGGGACGGAGCTGGCAGGGTGCTGAGCACCCACTCAGAGATGGCCAGGCATAGCACAGCGTAGGGCCTGATCCTGCCGTGGCTGCAGTCCAAGGCAGCCTCGTTATTGGTTTGATCAGGATCAGGCCTGACATGAATTAATTAGTGTGTTATTAGTATCAATTACTCGCCATTACTGGGGAGGACTGGGGAAGGGGCAGGCTGTGATTGCTAATCCCAGGTCCTGATGTTCCCTAATTGCAAGTGATTACCTAGGCGGGATGCGGGATGCTGGCATGGGGGGCCCTTCCTGGCATGGGTGTCGCATGCCCCCCAAGCCTCCCACCAGCCTCATGCTGGGGTAGAAAGCTGCCTGCAGGCTTTCTGATGACTTGGGGGGGGTGTCAGGGGGCTCGGTGCCTGCCTCACTCCCCAGGGCTGGGTTGCCGGGGCGGTGAGGAGCACAACTAAGATGCTGCCCGTAATGGGTTGTGGCAGCGCATCCATCTCCAGCTGCCCCGCTCAGATGAATACCCCGGGCTCCGCGGGAGAAGGCTGTGCTTAATAGTGCCATTCATCAAGGGAGGGGAAGGCAGTGAGTGGCGCTGGCCACCCTGCCGAGGCTGCTGGCACCACCGTGGCCACCACCGGGGCTGGCAGTGGTGTGGCGAGGGCTGTGTGCCACACCGGACCCCGGCATGAGGGCAGGAGAGGACCCCAAAGGGGTGTCCCAGGGGGTGTGCTGCCCCCCAGCACGAAGGGTGCTGCTGCTCTTCCGTGGCTGGATGAGCAAGCTGGTGGCCAGCCTGGCAGTGGGCAGGCAGCTGGGCTTGGTAGCCCCCATATACACCAGCAGCACCCCCCTGAAACAGCCTGCCAGTCCTCCCTCTGCCAACAGCCTGCATGGACGCCCTGGTGGAGAACAGTTAATAATTAATGTGGAGCAATCAAAGACAATTAACCACAGTCGCAGGGCCATTAATTTTCTGACAAGGAGCAGGGGCAGCTCCCGGCGCAGGCAGGGGGTGCTCCCCCAGGGACACAGGGCTCCCCGGGCACATGCTGGAGCCCTGTGCCCACTTTCCTCTCCATGCCCACGCTTTTAGGCAGCAGCTGTGGGCAGAACGGGGGCTGCAGCTCCTCCAGCTGCATGATAATTAGCAGCTGATAATTAGTGCTGCCAAACCAACACCTCTACCTGGGCTAAGGGGAAGCGATTCAATCCTGCCTCACTGGGTGTGTGGCTAAATGGCTGCTTGGAGCTACGGCTTAGCCACAGCCTGGCACTGCCTGCCCGCTTCTCTCTCCATCCTCCCGGCTCCCGAGAGCCGGTTCCTTTCCCGTTTGGATGGGAATGCTGTCCGGGACTGGGCGCCAGCAGCCAGGGCTGCAGGTGGGACCCGGGCGAAGGGCAGCTCTGCACAGTTGATCTGTATCCAAGGATTTATCTCTCCATCCTCCTCTGCCTTCCTGGGAAAAGGGGAGCGGGAGCCGAGAGCCGCAGCTCGGATGCCCCTGCCCGTGCTACGGTGTCTGTTTGCCAACGCCAACCATGTGTGAAATGAAAAGGGGAGGGAGCTGGCTGCTCCCGGCCGGGAAGGGCTGGCAAAACCCCCCTCCCCACCCGCTTCCCCCTTACCAGGGCCGCCTGCGCACGTCGTAGAGGTCGATCTTATTGGGGGCTCTCCATGGAGTGGCTGCGGGGGGGGAAGGAAGGCAGTGAGTGATGTGGGGCTGTCCCGGGGTGGGGGACAAGGGGAGGCTGGGGACAGGACAGAGGGATGCCCATGGCCAAGGAAGCAGCAGGCTCTGGTGGGGAGCTCACACCTTTGGCTTTGGCACAGCACGGCCAGGTAGCCCCCAGGGTCGGTGCCCTGGTGTTGGGGGATGCTCACCTGCATCTCCCTCAGCCAGCCCCCCAACCCTGGCCACCGCCCCCCCGCTGCCCCTCGCCACGCACCGGGGTAGTAGCGGGTGACGCCGGTGGCACTGCCGAACACCTGCCAGAGCAGGGAGGGATCCTCCTTCCGGTTCTCGATGAAGACGTCCTCCAGCGCCTGCGTCCAGTTCAGCTCGTTGAGGATGACGGTGGCTGCGGGAGACAGAGCCGGGGGAGGCGGGTGGGTGGGTGCAGGGGGAGCAGCAGAGCCTGGGGTGGGCTGGGGGTAACGGGGACCGTGGTGTCCCCGTGGTGATGGCAGGGAGGGAGAAGTGGTGTGTCCTCTGTGTCCCCTCTGCCCCTTCCCACGGAGGGGCCCACAGGGGCTTTGCAGCTGCTCCTGCACCCCCTGACCCCCTCGCTCCCATAGGGCTCCAGCATCAGCCCGTTGTCCCTTGTCCCCAGAGATGGAGCCATGCTCCAGGCATCCCCCCAGCGCTCACCGTCCCTGTCCCCTGGCTCTGGAGCAGGGACAGCCAGCTCTGGGGACAGCCAGCTTGCCATCTCACCCCCTTCCTGGGAAAAAGCCCCGCTCTCCCTGTCACCATGCCAGCCCCGCTCCCTGGGGACGGCCACCAGCTGGGAAGCCAAGGGGCTGTGTCCCTGCAGGGCCACACGGAGCCTCCGGGCCCCTCTCTGCATTCCCGCTGGCCGCTGCACCTGACGCAAAAGCAATTAAGATACCGGCAAACAGCAGTTTTTAAATTATTCAGCTATTAAAGCAAAAGATAAGCTGCCGGCAGCCCCAACCTGTGATTAATCAAGGGGGGCTGGCAGAGCGCGGGGGGGCCGGCATGGCGAGGCAGGTATGGGGAGGCTGCCTTGGGGACAGTGGGACCTCCCCATGCTCACAGGACCCTTCAGGGCACCCCAAATGCCACAGGTGCCCCAAGCCCTGGGCAGGTGGGGGAGACCCATGGTGTCCACCAGCAGCCCATGCTGGGCCACCCTGGGACTGTGGCGTGGAGGAGACAGCCATGCCACTGCAGGCAGGAGTGGGCAGCCAGCAGCACCCCAACACCAGGCACTGTACCCTTCTGGGGGACCCCCAATGCATTTTTGGGCTGCAGGAGGTCCCAGGAGCAGTCCCTCTCCTCGGTGTTGGGCAGATCAACTGTTGTAGTGCCACCGGGGAGCTGGTGTGTGTTTGAGGAGTACATTTAGCTCTGCTAAGGCTTCCTCCCACACGTGTCCCTCCTTGAAACACCATCATCACCCATTCAAGCCTTCACCACGGCCTCGAGGCACTGGCGGGACACAAGCAGGTGTCACCCAGGGTGAATCCTAGATCCCTCCATCCCAGCACCACCGCTGAAGAAGACTTCTTCCCTCGGGCAGCTGTGCCTTCAAACCATGATTTACTCTGACCGCATCTCCCCAACCATTTCTCAGCACCGTGCCTGCACGCAGCACCGTTATCTGGGCACTGAGGATGATTTCTTGTTTGGCTCTGTCACAGGACGTGGTTTTTCCCAGGCTCCTGTCTGCCCCGAGCAGCCCTGGGTAGTGCCACTTGGCCCTGGATGGGCACTGACGTGTCCCCGACAGCCCTGGCAGCGCCTGCACCCTCAGCCTCTCAGGGCCCATCAGCCACAGCAGCGTCATGCTGAATGCACACAAACACAGCCCCTATATCAGCCCTTAGCAAGAATGGAGCCCCTATATCCTCCCTGAGATGAATGTGGCCCCCATATCATCCCTGTGAACTAACACATCCCCTATACATGCCTGTGCATGAAAGCTGCCCCGTGAACGTTGATGCCTCCTATACCTCCTATACCACCCTGGCACATGAACGCAGCCTCTATAGCCACCCTGGCACATCCCTGCAGTCCCTATATCATCCTTGCATGTGAACACAGCCCCTATATGTGTTCCTGGCTCATCCCTGCAGTCCCTATATCATCCTTGCATGTGAACACAGCCCCTATATGTGTTCCTGGCTCATCCCTGCAGTCCCTATATCATCCTTGCACGTGAACACAGCCCCTGTACCATCCCTGTGCATGAACGCCACCCCTATACCCTCCCCGTGCCCAAACACAGCCCCCACACTCCCCTCGTGCAATCGCTCATCGGATGGGAGGCTGTGGCCATGGTCGAGGTGGCTCCTGTCCCCCTTGGTCAAGGTCAGAGCTGTCAGCTGCCCTCCCCGCCCCCCCCAGCAGTGACATCTTCAGCCCTGTCCCCATCTCGTCCCTGTCCCCATCAGGGTGAGCCCAGCCCCGCCCCGCCAGCGAGCGATTGCAGATTTAATTAAAAATGGCACAGTAAATAAAACATATAGAGGATGTAATTTGTGTGTGTAGCGAGGGGTGACGGCGGAGGGCGTCTCCGCGGTGGTTTAATTAGCGTGCCAGGCAGCGATAGTGCCTCTCCGCCGGGTCCCTCCAGGGAGATGTTCCCTGCCCGGGGCTCTGTGGGGACTGGCCACGCTCGCCAGCATCCCCAGAAGGAGGGGGCATACAGGTGGCCCCGTGCCTGCACCCCAAACCCCCTCTCTGGGGTGCATGGCTGAGCACCCTGCCCTGCACCCTGGCTTTTCAGAGCACCCTGGCGTTGCTGGGCAGGGTCTGATCCCTGTGCCACTGTCCTTTCTCCCCCCCTGTGGTCCCCTATTGCCCTGTCCCCTCTCCAGCATCCCTCTCGAGCGGTGGTGAGTCCATGGAGCACGTTACTCCCCAATTTACTCTCATCCCCTGGCGATGGGGTGATGTATGTGGCCGGGGCAGGGCAGGAGCCGCAGCGTCGGCTGGAGAGCAGGGGTGAGGAGTAATGAATATTTCATCCCTCGCAGCCCACCCACCCCCCTTCCTGCTCGCACGATGTGCTTCATTAGCTGCCCAGCATGGGCTGCCTGGGTAATAAAACTAATTGCAAATTTCTAATCCGCTGCCGTGGTGAAATCGTGGCACCGAGCACAGCCGTGTCGGTAACGAGCCAGGGTAGGAGTGTGAGCTCAGACCCTCGTCACCACCGTGACCACCCAGAAACCCTCAGCCAGTGCCACCCAGACAAGGGGCTGTGGGGACGGTGGTGCCCTCGGAGGTGTGGGGAGAAGGAGGGGTGGCCCCCAAGAGCAGGGTCTGGGGCTGGGTGCAGGACGTGTCCCGCAGGAGCTGGAGAGGTTGATCTCCAGGAGCGGTCCCCAGCTCAGTGCAGAGCAGCCACTAGAGGGAAATGGAGACCGACTGTCACCATGTGCCACCGCAGCAGGGCGAGGTAGGAAAGAGCTCTGGAAGCTCAGGGACCGTGTCACCTCCTGGAAGGGACTGAAAGCTGGTGTGGAATGTCCTGTCCCAACTGCCCATTTGCCTGCTCCTGGCCCACCAACCTGCTCCCCCTTTCCAGAGCAGCCTGCACCCTCTGATCACACTGTTCTGCAATCACAGTCGCTGCCTTCCCGCAGGATTCAGCTGCTCTTCCTCCTTTTTCATACCCTCAGCAGCCCAAAAAGAACAGGAAGCATCCCTGCTTCGCCCTGTCCCACCTCTCAGCCCCATCTTGCTCCCTTCTACAAGCTGGGAGTTGCCATCTCCATAACTGCTCCTGCACAGAGCTGCTCTGTCCCTCTGATCATCTCCAGCACCTGCTTTGAACCTCCTCGAGTTTTGCTGAGCTCTTCTACAGAGAGGATCACAGCCCTGTGGGTCACAGCTGAGCTTCACCCTGTGTCATTAACTATCAGTTCTCCTTGGCCTTCCATCCCTTCCCTAATCATCCCTCACCCCCCAATTTGCCTCTTTGGCCCGTGCTGAGCTCTTGAGGCTCCCTGGTGAGGGAAACGCTGTCCCCTCTGTCCTAACACGGTGACTCTGCCTCTTGTCAGTGCTGTCCCATCACCGAGACCCAGCCGGGGCAGCCAGGGGTGACGGTCCCCGGGGCTGTGGCACCCTGAGCAGGAGAGGGGGAGGCTGAACCCAGCCTGGTAGCACACAGCGGAGTGGGTGAGGAGGGGCACTCACAGCCTTTGTAGATGTCCGTGGGGATCTGCACGGCAGCGTACGAATAGTTAACCTTGGTCTTGAAGTTGGCGTCGTCGGTGAACTCCAGCTTCAAGGAGTTGGACTTCTCCCTCTCGATCTCTTCTCCGTCGGGATCGTCCTGGGGAAGGAGCAGAGCACACAGGGTGACCCGGGGGGTGCTAGACCAGGACCGTCACCAAACATCCCCCTGCAGAGACCGGCGGTGCTGGCTCTCGTGCCGGATTTGGCCCACAGCCCGTGCCACCCCCCGGGGACACAGGGGAGAGGGTACCAGGAGCAGGTGGGCACGAAGGCGAGCGCTGGTTACACTGGCCTCTCCGGTTTTGGTGGCACGCAGGTATTAAATCAGACAAAAAACCATCCAAAAAAAAAAAAAAAAAAAAAGCCTTGAAAATCAATTAGCAGCAAAAGGCAACTATCAAAGAACAAATTAAAACGGAGTGCAGCTTAGCGCTCTGTCAATAAGCAATGCAAACAATATTTAATTATGGTGGAGAGATGGTGAATTCCCCACTGCTGGCACTGGAATGTGCTCCCTCGCCTTCCCAGCCCTCCTCTCCCTTCCCGGGGCCCTGCTGCCAGTACGGAACTGGTACCAGGGGTAGGACAGAGCTGGGGAAATCGCTTCCACCATCCCACCAGGAGCAAAGAAACCTGGGAGAAGGTGCCAGCTCCGAGCTGTCACATCCCTGCCCCAGGCCCAGTGGCTGGGGAAGGCTGTTTGCAGCTGGCTGTGAGATGCTCGAGGTTGGGAGGAGGAGGAGGATGTTGAAGCATCTGCCCCTTGCGCCCCAGAGCTACCTCCCCGCTGAAGAGGGGCATAGACACAGAGCTGCCTGCCCCATCCGCGGGCAGGGACAGGGACATGGCAAGCCCACCTTGGGGCACAGGATGGCTCTGGCCACCTTCCCCTGGTCCTGGCTGCAGGAGGGAAAGGGGACGGGGTGTGTGGCAGGGCAGGAGCTGATCCGGCTGCTGAGCTCCCTGGCAAGGGAACGAATTTCCCTTGAGCAGCAGCTCAGTGCCTCTGCCTTTGTGCCTCCTCCCGAGCGAAGTGCCGATCTCGGGGGCCCGTGCGAGGCCGTCTGATTGCGGTGGCAGAGATCAGCCCCGCAGAAACGACAGCCGACGTGACTGGAAGCGTGAGCAGCTCCAGGCAGGGCTGGTGTAGTGCCGAGCCGGGGACAGATTGATGCCCCACACCATCCCACACCAGCAGGGACAAGGGGTAGGGGACAGTCCCATCCTGCTGTCCTCCATGGCCCAGCGTGAGCAGCTCTCCCACCAGCCAGGCTCCTCTCAACAAAACCCAGGGGACAAAAGATCTGAATTTCTCATGGGAAGAGCCATCTATTTAAAGGAAAATGATGTGTTTGGGAAATGAACGATGAAGCTCGTTTAAAACCCACCCTGGCCCTCCTCCCCATTTCCCCTCCGCAGATACCACCGAGAGATGCCACCTCCCCTGCTGCCACCTCCGGCCGGCCACCAAGGCGGTGACATTCCCCTGACATTGTGAGGGGTGGCCAAACCATTCGCCACAGTTCGGGAGGATAACAGGATTGATATGCAAGGTTTGGGATTTAATTCCAGCTGATGGATTATGAGCGTAAACACGCTGTTGAGCCGACCCTGGCGCGGGGGCTCCAGCCGCCCAGAAAGATGCTGAACTCAATTACAGCTGCAGTAGCCAAGCAGGAGGCGGGCAGGGACCATCCCCACCTCCCCTGAGCCATGTCGCCAAGATCCAAATCCAGATTACGCTCTCAGTTTTCCATAAATCCGGAGAAAAGGCACAAAACTGACTGCCAGAACTCTGCAAAGCTGCCGTGCTGCAGCAAAGCCGGCACCCCGTGCATGCAGGTCCGTGGGCAACCCGGGGAGTGGGTCCAGCCCCAAGTCTGCCAGCGATGTGGGGCTCAGATCTCAGGGGGAAAGCGGTTGCAGACACAATAGCTGGTCCCTGCCAACCTCTGCGAGCACCAGGCGGTGATTTAGAGGCACCCACTGAAAAAAGGCTTTAAACAAGATACAGCCATGGCCCCAGGGGCACCTGCAGCACCAAAACCTCTGCTTTGACACCAAAACCTTACTTTTTTTTTTTTTTCCAGAGCTCAGCAAAGTCCTGGTGACACCTCCCCATCAGGGCAACCTGCCCGGGTCCAGCCCATCCACCACCCCCACCACCAGCAGCAGCCAGGAAAATCCATCCCTCCCTATTTCCCCCCCACGCCAGCATGGTTATTCCACACTTCACCCGAGCTGGAACTACTGTATATAATTACTGCTCCTCTGTTTATCATTATTCCATTTTATCACCCGCTTCTGAGGGGCTAATTTGTATTCTGCCAGGTTGGGCGCTGTCTGGCTGCTCTCACTCATGTAGCTGTAAAGAGGCATATGTATAGATCTCGGAGACAAATCTACAGCTATCTATACGTAGGACACTCCATGCATCACTGACACCTATACAGCAAACAGACCCGCGAAAAGAGCTGATGTTATCCAAGCTACCTTTATCCTTTATCCATAAATCTCCCGACCTCAACCGAGTTATTCCTGTTTAAGCCAAGCTGAATTTGGCCCCTGAAATGGGGTCATTTCCAGCCGGATGAAGGCAGGCAAAGCTGTCACCAGCCCAGGCAGGGACGGGAGCATCTCAGTGCTAGGCTGAGCCTACAAGGAGCCACCTTGGGAAGGCCAGAGGAAGAAATTCTGCATTATATTTATATTAGACCAAAGGAGAAGATGATTCAAGTTCTGGATTTACACTGGTTTAACTGTGTGCATCTCAGCAGGCCCCCAGCCAGATTTTGCAGCATTCCTCATCATCACATTTAAAAAGAACTTGGAAACATCTATTTATCTGTTGCAATATGTACAACATAACACAAATAGATGCTACAGTTTGAATATATTATTTGCTACACACCATTAGAAATCGACTCCATGGCAATATACCAATATTATACATATTTATTGCTTCAGCAAGAAGTCAACATGCCCTGAGAGCCTTTGCCATCTTCAGTGCTTTCAGCAGCTGGGCTGCCAGTCACAACGTTTTCTCTTGAGTCTTCCAAAATGATGGTCAGGGGACAAAACCCCGAGATGCTCCAACACCCAGTGTGCACCAGTGGCACCACTCCGCAGCGTTACTGGAGCTTCCACGCTCTCGCCAAGTCCCTGCCCTCCATAGCATCCAGGCTGGTGCTGGCTGAGGAGAGCCAGCCTGCCCACGGGCACAAGGGCTAATGGGAGGTCCCCACCAGTTTGGGTTTGGAGCTGTGGATGGAGCTGGGGATGTGACCTGGGGCAGCAGTGACGCCTCGGCCGGGTGGCTGCTGCGGATGGAGACACCCCCCTTCATTGCTCATCTCCATGGGAACGAGCCATCACAGCTAATGAGGACTGCTTAAATGGCAGCACGGATGACAAACGCAGGGCTGATCCAGCAAACGGTGCCGGTGGTCGCTCCGGGATGATGCCTGGGGTTTCGCAGCTCCGGACAAGCCAGGCAGCCACTGGTGTTTCTCCCAGTCCCCCCCAGGCACCAGCAGAGCTCCTGCGAGCTCCAGCACCCCGACAGCATCCCTGCATCCCACATCCTGCTCCTCACAAGCCCGATAAAGGATATACCGTACCGAGATCACAACACATCCTTTTAAATTCCCCAGGAAAATGTTAAGTCTGGAAAAGCCTGCAAAATATTCATATCAGCATGCCGTGATTGCTACTAATGAATATAAATGCCAGCCCCCGGCACATGGCTGAGAAACTCCAGGCCCATGCAATAGGGCCTTTCTCCTTCTTAAATATCTCAGCTTTTCCTGAAATGCAGCAATTTAATGCTGGGGAGGGAGACAGCGTGTTCTCCAGCCACGTTCCTGCTTTTATAGCAGCCCAGGTTATAAATAACAATCAGCCTCTCCCGCCAGCCTGCTCCCCTATCCCCCTTTGCTTTTTTTAATCTTTGCCAAAGGTACTGTTTAGAGATCTTTCTAGACCATTTATTTTTAAATTACCAGCCAGAGGAGAGAAGAAGGAAAGGGAAAAAAAAAAAAAGAAAGAAAAAAGGCAAAAGAAAGAAACTTCTGGGGCTGATAGCTTATCGGAAGGAAATCCAAATGTCACATTAGTTGAGAAAGTTGGAAGATTAAATTTTCCAACACCCTTCATCTGCTGCTGCTGACATTTAGGGGCTTTTTTTCCTCCCTCCTCCTTCTCCTCACAGCATCTCCTGAGCGGGGTGAGCGGTGAGCAGCAGCCCCCGCCTGCGGCCGGCACCGTGCTCTCCCCTGCACCGGAGGGTGCTGAGCCTGATGTGCAGCCTCCCGCTGCCATCCCCTCGCTCCCACCCCTCCCCAGGGACCCCCAGCAGGGGGGTGGGTCCTGGGGGGCCGATTTTGGGGTGAGCGGTACCTTCACCTGCAAACTGCATCCCTATGGAGGAGGAGAAGCGACGATGTTCGGTTTGGAGGGGGGACAAAAAGACACGGTCCCACTTCTCCTCATCACATCAGCCCTGCGTCCTGCAGAGAGGATGGGGACAAGGACCAGGGCTTGCACAGATATCCCCGGGGGTGGATGCCAGGCCCTGATGGGTGCTGTACTGCCACTGGGCACATCTCTCCAACCATGGGAGGAGCAGCAACAGCAAAGCCTCTCATCCACCACTTTACAACCTGGGAACCAACAGCTCCTGGCTGAGGCAAAGCAGAAAATTAAGTCCATAACGTGGTCCTCCAGCCGGGACCTGGGCACAGCTCCATCAGCTCCCACCAGAGAACAACACAACCCAGGGGATTTTGGCCTCAGCTGTGACTTAAGCATCATCTCCTGCCATAAACACAGTACTAAAGATAGAAAATCACTTTATTTCTGTGTTGTTCTGCCTGTGATACCCATCTGAGAGTGTCTGCTGATTTCAACACTTGTCCCCGGATAAACCCCACAGCCCTTGCTAGCAGGGAAAGGTGAAAACTTATCTTCTGCAAACATTTTGAGAGCCTTGGGGACCCCCAGGAAAATTTTCTGATGTTCCCATTTGTTAAAAACCACTTGGAAATCCAAAATCTGTTTAGGAAGATAGCGGAGCTGAGGTGCAAGCAAAATGAATAGGAAGCTCATTTCTTTCTCACCGTAGTTAAAGCCGGCATAAGGCTTGTGAATAAGCCCCAGTTACGTTGAATAGGCATTGTCCATCAGAACTAACTCCATTTCAGCTAGATCCTGCTCAATTTAAATACAAAAATTGAAGCTAAATAAAGAAAAGAAGGAAAGAGTGCTATTTAGTTCCATTCAGACCTTCGGGTATCATCTCCCTCCTTTTTTATTTCAGCATCACCTTTTCTCTCCATTATTTTTGCTGGAATTAAATTTGCTGGGATTTCACGGGGAAGCAGCAACAGCATTGATGGGAAAGCTCCCTTCCAGCTGCACCCACGAAGCTTGGCAAGAGGACACCCCCAATTTTGCTTGATTCTTCCCCTTGAGGAGGACTGAAGTTGGTGTGGCTGATGATGGATTTGCAAGGCTGTTCCTCTCTGAGGACAACCCACCTCTTTTGGGGAAGGGCTGGGGAGCAGGGAGCTGAGCCCCACTGTCCCCTGGGACACTCTGCCACGCCATGGTGTGCAGTTTCTGTGTCCCGTGTGCCAGGATGGCTTGGTGGGCACAGTTCTGAGGTCAAGATGCCTCCTAATGTAACAACGATGCTCTCCTTGGTTAAGTGACTAATCCCAAAGCTAATGGCCAGGAGATCCCAGTTCATATCACCACTGCCGACGCTGGCCGGGTATGGGCAGTCAGGACTGGTCAGGGTAACACCAGCCATGGGGACATCCATCTCCCCTCTCCCCTGTCCTGCAACAGTGATGGCAAAAGCCCTGCCCAGCCTGATGGATGCATCAGTCCTACTCCTTGGGTCCCTGACCAGGGAGCTGCCCTGTTCCCCGGGCTGTCTCCTCCTGCCTCAACCACCAGCCAGTTTTTCCTCTGCTTCTCCCCAAAATCTGCTTTAATGCATTTTAAGCCCATTAGCTCCATCCTCTCCGGAGCTGGCATGGAGAGCAGGATCCTCTCCTCCCTCCTTTGGCAGCTCCCCCCAGGATGAGGAGGGAGAGGAGACATCCCCAGCTCTGAAGGAGCGGGACCCTGACCAGGGAGAGCTGCTTGGGAAAGCAAGCACCTCCCCTTCGGTCACAGCATCCACCCAACCTCTCCCATCCCCTCTCCCAGACTCTCTGTGGCTCCAGCTTCCCCTGCCAAGGAGCCCTCCTGCTGTCACCACCTGGGGACAACAGCACGGGTGGTTTGGCAGTAACTCTGCCTTGAAGGCATCCATCCGCCACTCCAGCCTGCCCCCAGCTCTGCTCTGGGGCATCACCTCCAAGGTGGGGAGAGAGCAGAGCTGGAGCTTGGCTCCTGGAGCAGGTGGGACCCCATCAAGCCTGGATCTTCTCCTCCCCTCCGCATGGGCCCTTCTGAAGGCTTCTGTGGTCACCCAAGTGTTATTTTCAGACGAGGCCCTGTGGTTTGCCAGTGGTTTGCTGCCAACACCATGTGCTGCCACTCCTCCCCTCCCGCTGTGATACCGTCCCCCGATGGCACATAGAATCATAGAATCACAGGATGGTTAGGGTTGGAAGGGACCTCAAAGATCATCGAGTTCCAACCCTCCTGCCATGGGCAGGGACACCTCCCACTAGAGCAGGTTACTCAAGGCCCCATCCAGCCTGGCCTTGAACCCCTCCAGGGATGGGACATCCACAGCTTCTCTGGGCAACCTGTTCCAGTGTCTCACCACCCTCCCTGTATTTGTGCCTGGGGTTGCCACGTCCCAGGTGCAGGACCCTGCACTTGGCTTGGTTGAACCTCATGCAATTTGCACGAGCCCACCTCTCCAGCTGCCAGCTGTGCCTTGGGGCAAGGACTGGTCCTGGGACACCACCGCTGCCTGGGGGTGGCCCCAAGCCCCCACCCTGCTCTGTTCGGGGGTCCCGGCCAGCTCCAAGGACACCATGATGGCACCAGTGCCAAGAGCATCACCGACTCAGCAAGCCCCTATTTCAGAAGGATCCCATGGCACAGCACAAGTTAGGAGCCGGGTGATCTGCCAACAAAGTGGGGTGCCGTGGGACAGCAGTGATTGCCAGTGGAGCGCCCTGTGCCCGCAGCGTGGCACCTGAGCGCCGTCGCCGAGCAGAGGAGCCGGCAAATGCCAGCCCCCTTGGGAGCACCGGGAGAGCGGAGCTGTCGGGTCTGTATTTAAAGCACTGATTGCCAGAAATCACAGGACGGCTGTGCCGGGAGTGGGGGGTAGAGAATTAGATTCAGTCTCTAATTAAAGGCTTGCTCTTCATTTGAATTTCAGATGCCAGCTTTAATTTTAGAAACTTTCGCAGGTAGCGGAGCGACCTGCCCACCTGCCTGCTGGCGGGCCCGGTGCCAGCGGGTGGATGACACCACGGCTCAGCTGGAGGGGACACGGCTGCTGATGGGGCACTCGCTGCCCACTGCAGATGCTCGTTATGCCAGCTGTAATGAACGCTGCGCCAATACCCCCCGTATAGTGCTGGGACAGCCCCGGGAAGGGGAGGTGACCGTGCCAGCGGTGCAGCAGGGACGGTACTCACGTATTCGGTGTCGGCCTTGGAGTCGTAGTACTCGATGTCTTCCTCCTGCAGAGAAAAGGGAGAGCTGAGTTAGCACCAGGCAGGGATGGGGATGGAATAGGGGTCCCTCCCCTTTACTTGTCACCTCGTTCCCTCTGTCATGCTGCTGGCAGCCACCCTGTCACTGGGGACCAAGCCTTGCCCACCCCACGCTGTCCCTGGGACATGGCCAGGACCACAGATCCCCCCTGTCCACCCTCCAAGGACTGGCCATTGCCTGCCGTGCCTTGCTCTTCTCATGGCTGCCCCCGAGATGCAGGAGTGTGGGACCACGCACAGCCTCTGCCGCAGCCAAACACCCCTCCCACGGTGCCACCGGTGTGATGGTGACCTCTGTGCTGCTGCTCCGTGTGCCCACACCAGGGATGCTCTGGTCCTGCTGCAAGCATTAGGAGCTGCAGGAGAGCCAGGCATGGGCAGCGTGGCAAGCAGTGGCCCCGCAGCCGGCAGCGCTGCCCTCCCTGCGCCGCAGAGAAAAAAGTCTCCTTGCTTCCACGGAGAACTGCGTGTCATTAATTTGGGGTATTTAGAGCCTATTTAGGCAGAAAGGTCCGCTTGGATTCCTCTTCCCCGCGTGTCAGGAACGCGAGGCAGCTGATAAAATTCCTAAAGAGGCAATTCGGAGAGCGGCAAGGCTGTCACAACAGCGTGTCGTGCGCCATCAGAAGGGGTAATTAAAGGGCACTCGGAGACTCATCTCTGCGTGCCGGGACGGCAGCGCGATGCACGGGCAGCCGTGGCAGAGCTAACATGTCTGCCACTCCATCAGCCGTCAGCAGCCGCCCCGCAGACCGGCCCTCCTCCCCGCGCGCACCGCCAGCGCCTTGGGATGATTATTGCCGTTAGCATTTAACGAGGAGAGCTATCTGGGCCCAGAACAGACACGCAGCTGAAACCTTAATGGTGCTGACTGCATCCCTGTCCTCCCCGCTCCTGCTGCTGCCTCTGCAGCACCCAGCCTGGCCATGGGCTCGTGCCAGGGATGGTGGCACCGTGACACCCAGCCTGGCCATGGGCTTGTTTTGGGGCTGGTGGCACTTTGACACCCAGCCCAGCCTGGCCACGGGCTTGTGCCAGGGATGGTGGCACCCTGACACCCAGCCCAGCCTGGCCATGGGTCAGTGCTGGGGACAGTGGCACCGTAACACCGAGCCCAGCCTGGCCACAGGCTTGTTTTGGGGCTGGTGGCACTGTGACACCCAGCCCAGCCTAGCCATGGGTCAGTGCCGGCAACAGTGGCACCGTGACACTCTACCCAGCCTAGCCACAGGCTCCTTCTGGGGCTGGTGGCACTGTGACACCCAGCCCAGCCTTGGCCACGGGCTTTGCCAGGGATGGTGGCACTGTGACACCCAGCCCAGCCTGGCCACAGGCTCTTTTTGGGGCTGGTGGCACCATGACACCTAGTCCAGCCTGGCCATGGGCTCAGGCCAGGGATGGTGGCACCATGACACCCAGCCCAGCCTGGCCACGGGCTCGGGCCAGGGATGGTGGCACTGTGACACCCAGCCCAGCCTGGCCACAGGCTCTTTTTGGGGCTGGTGGCACCATGACACCCAGCCCAGCCTGGCCATGGGCTCATGCTGGGGAAAGGGACCGGCAGGTCCAAGCAGCTCGCCAGGCAGCTGCCACCACCAGCTCCGCTTCCCTGGCCCCACCAGGAGCTGGCAGCGCCTAACCCATCACCGGCGTTATCCTCTAGCCACAAACCTGCTCCCCAGAGCCCTTTGCTGCTGCTGCTTCCCCAGGCTGTTAAGACACAAGACCATCAAGGGGGCAGAAAGCCCCTGGAGCAGGGATGCTGCTCCCTCGGGGGACTGGTGGCAGGGGGACGCTGGCTGCGTGGCCGATGTCCCCCCAAGATGGGGACTGCAAAGGGCAGTTTCAGCATCCACCGGGCAGAGGGGCTGGTCCCTCCCGCGGGCGCCGTGGCTCTAATCCCAGCTGTAAGACAGCACCCAGAGGGGAAAGCAGGAAAAAAAAATATAAAAAAATCGATACAACATCTTCCAATTTCTCCTATTAAAAAGCCTAGTCATTAAGGGAATGTACTTATTAATTATCTGTGATTTGTTGTGAAATGCTGAGGGGTTTACAACAACAAGAAATGGGAAAAAAAAAATTAATTTCTCTTCAGATGCCCTCCCCGCGCCCCTCCCGGCCCCACGCACGCCCCTGCCCCTCACCAGCACTGCCGGCTCCCCGGGTCCGTGGCCATCTGCACTTCCTAATTAAAGGAACCCCCGGGAGACCCGTAACACAAACGAGCTAATTTCATGTTTAATGATCTTTAATCAGAAGTGAGTGTGACTAACAATGGGCTCATGCTGGGGAAAGGGACCGGCAGGTCCAAGCAGCTCGCCAGGCAGCTGCCACCACCAGCTCCGCTTCCCTGGCCCCACCAGGAGCTGGCAGCGCCTAACCCATCACCGGCGTTATCCTCTAGCCACAAACCTGCTCCCCAGAGCCCTTTGCTGCTGCTGCTTCCCCAGGCTGTTAAGACACAAGACCATCAAGGGGGCAGAAAGCCCCTGGAGCAGGGATGCCCCCGGTGGCAGGGGGACGCTGGCTGCGTGGCCGATGTCCCCCCAAGATGGGGACTGCAAAGGGCAGTTTCAGCATCCACCGGGCAGAGGGGCTGGTCCCTCCCGCGGGCGCCGTGGCTCTAATCCCAGCCGTAAGACAGCACCCAGAGGGGAAAGCAGGAAAAAAAAATATAAAAAAATCGATACAACATCTTCCAATTTCTCCTATTAAAAAGCCTAGTCATTAAGGGAATGTACTTATTAATTATCTGTGATTTGTTGTGAAATGCTGAGGGGTTTACAACAACAAGAAATGGGAAAAAAAAAATTAATTTCTCTTCAGATGCCCTCCCCGCGCCCCTCCCGGCCCCACGCACGCCCCTGCCCCTCACCAGCACTGCCGGCTCCCCGGGTCCGTGGCCATCTGCACTTCCTAATTAAAGGAACCCCCGGGAGACCCGTAACACAAACGAGCTAATTTCATGTTTAATGATCTTTAATCAGAAGTGAGTGTGACTAACAACAGCCATCCAGAAGGTGCTTTGTTATTCATTTTATCTTCCATTGGCTCCTCCGAAAAGCTCGAATCCCCTCCCACACGTGGTGGCCCCAGTGCTCCCATGGCACGGGGAGCAGACCTCCTAGAAGAACGCCTCTCCCACCGGATTCCCTAGGGATCACAGAGCCCTTGCCATGCACTGTTTCAAGCCCTGACAACCCCAGGGGCAGCCGAGTGAGATCCTGTGCCCACTCTACGCCGCGGCACAGGCACGATGACACGTGTGGCATAGTCAGTGTCACCATGGCCTTGGCCCCAGGACATGCCCTGATGCCAGGCATCGTTCTCCTTGCTACGACCCTGCTGATGCTGTGGGGCTTGTGAGATGTGAGGGAGCCTGCAGGAGCTGGCAGGGCATCCATATCCCTGGCATCTGGAGGCTGGTGGAACCAGTGACAATTTATTCCAAGAAGGAGGGACAGAGCCCTCGGAGACCCTCTAAGAGAGATGCCGGGGGTCTCCCAAGAGGCAACACAGGGCCCTACAATTTCCTCTCCTTAATGTTTATTTTTCAAACCACGCTTGCCTCCTTCACGTAATCCTCTCTTCCTCCTCCTCTGGTCCACGTTAAAGCCAGCACCCGGTCTGTGTAAATAGCACTGATATTTCTAGAGCCTTTCAGAATAAATACCAATAAAGAAAACAAGGGAGTGAAGACGTCGAGGGATTTCAGGGCAAAACATTGCCCCCGCCTCTTGCAAACGAGCCTGCAGAAAGCCCTCGGTGCAGGGGGGGAAGATGCCAGGTAGCTGCTCCTTGGTGATGTGTCAACTGCTGTCCCTTTTCTCGTGCCATAATTGCCAAATGGCATCAGTGCGATGGCACTGCCAGCGGATGAGCACGGGCTTATTTCCATCTCCTAAACCCTCGCTGCAAATCATGGGGAAACCACTTTGGGAGCTCGGCGCAATGGCAGACTACTCTGAAGACCTCACCCAGGCTTCTCTGCCAAAGCCACCGAGCAACCACCATGCCTGCACCAAACTTTGGTGGTTCGGTGTCACCGGGCAGCCCCCCAGCCAGGCTTTGACCCAGGTGGGACCTCCTGGATGGGGCTCTGGGGATGCTGCGTGCCAGAGTCTCCCTGGGGACCCTACCTCCTGCTTGTCCCCCTTGAGCCCTCCCTGCCAGCCCCCTGCTCTGCTCCTGCGCTGATTTTACACCAAACCGCCATGCAGAAAGCTAATTAACAAACTCAGGCTGTGAGCGCCTGGGGAGCTGCAGGCTGGAGCCTTGCCAGCAGCTCAAGGGAGGACCCTGCCCTGGCACGGGCTCTCCCTGGCCAGGTTTGAGCCAAAGACCACCACCAAAGACAAAGAGGGGCATGGGGGTGTCTCAGGTGGGGAGTGAGGTGCACTCCTCCCTCCCACAGTCTTCTCCAAGAACATTCAAATAGGTCTTTTTCCACCTAAAACAACTACAGCAACTAAAAATAACATGAGAAAGGTCAGTGCTCCGCTATCTTGCTGCAGCCCAGCGACATCAGGACAGAGGGGTGCTGGCCCAAACCTCCGAGTCAGTGGTCTAACGAGGTGGCAATCAAACCACGTCATACACACAGCTGCCACCCCCCCCGAAAAAGCCTCAGAAGGAGCTGCCGGGGGCACATCAGCTCCTTGCTCCAGCCCCTCCAGCCAGAGCACGCAGCCAGCAGGGACACAGCAGAGAGGCCACCACTCACTCTCCCCTCACAGCTTTTCTGTGAGATCACCCAAGCTGGGCAATCCTTCTCTCACTGATCTCTTGTGCTCCGCAAGATCGCTCACGGTCATCTTGTACAGGTCACCCTGCTGCTCGCCCGCCCCGGGGATGATGTGATTTTGCAGGTAGCTCCCGCTGCACTGCAATGATTTTTGGTCCATCTCAGCCCTCCGGCTGCAGGTTCCCTTTCTCCGAGCGGCACAGGTGACCCCTGCGGTCAA